GCAGGGGAGGTGGGGTGTGGGGCCCGCCAGCGGGCGGGCTGCGGGTGGCCTCAGACGAAGGTGGCGTGGTGCGGGTTGGCTTTGGGCTTGCCGGGCCCACCTGCGATGGGGCTCAGGCCAGGGAGGTCTGGTGCGGGGGGCCTGCTGGCCTGTGGTCTCCGGGGGCCTGTCCGCAGCCCTGGAGCCCTGTGGCCTGGCCCAGGGGCCGAGCCAGCGACCAGGTCCACGTCGATGATCGTGTTGACTGGGAGGCCTCGGCTGCTGTGTGCCCCGCCTCCTGTCACAGGGAGAAGAGAGAGGCTGTCACCATCCCCCCAGGCCTGCAGACACCCCGCAGGAATCCCTACCCACCTGCCCTGCATGGACACTGGCCGTGGGAGGGTTCCTCAAATGTCCACATGCATCCCGCAGGCCGGCGACCTCTGACCTTGGCCTCGCCGGGGTCAGGGGTCTACAGACCGCCAGCCTCAAGCCACCAGCCCCTCGGGGCCCCTGCACGTCGGGGCGGCAGAGGCCACACAGTGTGGGGAAGGCCCCAGGCCGAGAGGGCACAGGCATGAATCGAGAGGGGAGGCAGAGGCTGGGGCCCCGGTGCTGGGGGTGCAGAGCCCAGGTTCTGTGCCATGGCGCCCGGGGAGCCCCTACTGGTCACAAGGACACCCTGGGCTCCCTGCACCCTGCCCTGGTCGTCTGTGCCAGGTCAGCCCGGGTCCTTCAAAAGCTGTTCAGCACCTGGGCCCTGCCCCCCTCACTCCTCCCCTCCTGGTGGCCCCCGGCCGGCCAAGGATGCTGAGCTGCCCCCGGCTGGGCTGTGAGTGTGCGGTGCAGGAATGAGGATTTCTGGGCCCCAGGCGGGGCTGGGGTGGCAGAGGAACTGGAGGGGGAGGGGAGGGGTCCCAGGGCCCCACCAGGCTGCAGGGCTGCTTGCAGGGATCCAGGGGCTCCCGCCTGGGTTGTGGCCAGTGGAGAGCAGTCAGTGGGGGGTTGGGGGGGTGGGGAGGAGACTGAGGCCACAAGAGACCTCCCTGCTGAGACCCGCCTTGCCTTCCCTGACTCCACCCCAGGCTACTATGGCCCCCAACTCCCCTGGGGGCTGTCTGCAGGTCTTGCCCTTAGGCCAGGGGCACTGGGGCCACAGTAAGTGGGTGCCAAGGGACAGGCCCCCTTGCCTGGGCTGGTGAGGACTAAGCTCCTGGTGGGGCTGTTCCAGACAGGACTGGCCCTTGGCAAGACCCCCAGGCACTCGGCCTCAACACAGACCTCACTGCCAGCCTCGCTGCAGGATGCAGCTCACAGGCCAGCGTGGGGCAGAGGTGGCTCCAGAGCCCCTGTGCCCACCCAGCCTGGCTGCCAGCTGTCCACCTGCCTCCAACTCAGGCCCATGTCCTCACCCTCACAAACAGTCCTTCCTGGCACCTGCCTGGGTTCTGGCTGCGCTCTCCTACCCCATGGCCATACCCGGGCCTTGTGCCTGTCCCCCGAGTGGACTATCGGCTCCTCCTGCAGGTTGCTCAGTGCCCAGTGGCCCCGCCTCAGCCCCAGGAGTCCTCGGGCAGCCAGAAACTCCTAGGCCCTGGGTGGGCAGCCCTGGTTCTGTGCCAGTAACCTCTGGGTGGGCTGCAGAGCCCGGGTGAGGCCCTGGAGGATGGAGACCTGTCTTCTTTCCAGGCGCAGTCCCCAGGGACCGGCATGGGGTGGGCTTGGCAGAAGCTCCAGCCCTGGCACCCTCCACTGCCCTCCCCTGGCTCACCACTGGGACGGGGCAGGCGGTGCTGCCCAGGTTAGGGATGCCAGGGCCCTGGTGTAGAATCTATAGGGTGTCAGTGAGCCCAGGGCCGATGACTCTCAGGTGCCCACGGCGAGCAGGCGTCCCGGCCGGTGACCCACAATAGACATGGAGTCCTGCCCCACAGACCAGCCCTCCCTGGGCCTCGGTTTCCCTGGCCTGGCTCCACTTCCTCCGTGGATCTGAGGCTTCTGAGTGAGAGTGGGATGGCTGTGGGATCAGGAGCCTGTGTCCCCAGCTGCTCTGTGGCCCCAAAGTACCACCTTATTGCACCCCAGGCCTCCATGAGCCCCTCCACGTGGCCCCCAGGGCTTCCCCGTGGCTCATCGGTGTCAGAGTGCCTGGCCGCGTGTCCTCCCTGGCCACAGCTGCTGAGCCAGGCGTGTCCTATTCAAAACCATGGGGAAGGGTTTACCCTGAGGCCGGAGGGTCCAGTCCTTCAGTCATTCAGCAAACATCCCACTAGGCCTCCCACTGGGACCCACCGTCCCATCTGTCACTGGGCCCCCATGCTCCACAGGTGGCCGCAGGGTGGGAGGTGTGGGCAGGGTGCTTCCATTTAGCTTCAGGGTGGAGGGCAGGGCTTTCCAGGTTCTCTGCCCGCTCGGGGGCATCTGTCTGGAGCAGTAAAGGACCTGCAGTCCCACTCAGGCCAGGAGCCAGGCCCTCCCGTCCAGCCCAATGGGCCCGGGCAACAGAGGCTGCAGGGGCAGCCGGAGCCGACAGTTTAGCAGGCCCAGGGTGGGCCTGCCGTGTCGGGGATGGGGCAGCTGGTACAGGCCCAGGGTGGGCCTGCCATGTCGGGGACGGGGCAGCTGGTACAGGCTGAGGACCTGTGTCTGGGGGCGGGTGGCCAAAGTCCAGGCCCTTCCTGCCTGCCTGGCCCAGATTTGCTTTCTGAGTAAGTGGCAACCCCAGGCCCGTGACTCAGTGGCAGCAGCCCAGCCCCATGCAGTCAACGGGCGCCGAGGCCCGATGCCAGGGCCGGCCCAGAGCAGCTGCCCGCCTGGCCTCTCTGGCAGGCAGGCAACACGGGACCCCACAGGGCGCCAGGGGCCATTTCAAAGGGTGCCCATGCCATTCCCTCCAGCAGATATGAGGCTGGGCCAGGACCTCGCCTCTGCCTCTCAGGGCCCTACTGGCCCCTCCCCCCAGGGCTCCACAGCCCGACATGAGCTGACGAATTCTGCGGTTCTGGCTCCAGTCAGCTCCGGG